AGGAAGACACACACACACTCAGTGCCGACGGCTGGAAAAAGAAGAGCACATCATCTATGCCTCAGTAAATCCTTTCTGTTTCTCTCAGTACTTTTTAATGGTAGCTGGATAAAAGTGTTCCACATTAAAAAAAATGTTTTCATAAAACATTCAGTGTGGTTTGCGCTCGTATTAGGCGTCGGAGTGACTTTCATTTCGGTTATTTTCCTTCCACTGACTGGATGTGTTTGCCTCACCTCCCTGAGGGCAGTTTATCTCTTTTGCAAAGAGGACCATTTTTAGCTGTAGTTTATTATTTGTCTTTGAAGGCCATGTTTCACATACTATGGCTTAGGCACTCACTCTAGGAGGTAACTTCCCTTGTTTATGTTGATGTGAGGCACCCGTATCGAAGCATCCTGCGCTCTGTGGCTATAGACTCCGCTGGGTCAGACTGGGGTCAGCCTTTTTAACCACTGCAGGTCAGACATGTTGACCCCCGTGTAGAAAAAAAAAGCTTTGGAATGAAAAAAAAAAAGACCTCTTGCTCCTGGTAAGACTTTACAATGTCACCACAATGACAAAGAGGGGTGTGAATGCGCGCTTTTCCACATCCGTGCAAAGTCATTGTGCTTTTATTGTTTAATCATCTTAATTTTTTTCTATATGTGAACTTTGAAACAAAAAGCATTCTGAATCTATGTGGAAATTYTGATAACCAATACACCAAAACAAATATGTAAACATTTTTACTGTTTTATTTCACAGTTTGTCAAGCTTTTCACAATACTGTTATTATTAAAATGACATTTTGTGCTKAAATAGTAATAAAAAGAAAAATCTCCAAGAGGAAACTGTCTGAATGGTACAATGCTACAATTGTTTTTAGAAAATCTTCAGCCAGGCTGAAATGTTCCTTCTCTGTGCTTTGATTTGTTGTTAATCTGGACATTCTCACTGCCTGGTGGCGTGGCTTGAGCATTTTAGTTTTTTTTTTTGTCAGACTCGAATGAATGTAAAAAAATCTTAAACCGACAAAAAATGTTTCAAAAATGTTTTAGAGGAGTGCAGACGGGCCTCAGATGAGAAGCGGAGAAGAAGTACTATGCGGTTGCTTGCCTGAGAGCTAACACAGATGGTATCCCCATCTGCCACACTGCCAGCACACCCTCAGTCAATGGGTCATCATGTGTGTATGTGTGCATTTTAAAGCACTAATGCCCAACTGCAAATGAAAGTGCTCACACATGCAAGTACATCAAAGAATCTGCGTGAAACTGACAAAATCGTCTCACACCTCTCTGATCTAACTCTCTGCTCTCTCTTTCAGACAAAAAAAAAGGAAAAAAAAGAAAGAAGTCAGCTACAGGCCATGGTTTTTACTTAGACAGGATTTTATACAAAACCACAAAGAGGCGTTTGTTTCGTGCTGAGGGTATCTGATCATGTGGGTTACCAAGCGTGGTCAGGCTGAGAAAATACAGCGTGAATGAAGGGAATAAGAAGAAGAAGAACGAGGAAGAGCATAAAAAACAAGGCCTCTTTTCAGCACCTTATCACCTCTCATCAGTGGTTTTCAGCCCGAGTGTACCCTTCTCCTCATCCCGCAGAAGCGAGAAATTCCTCTGTATATTATGCATAAGGGGATTATGAATGATTCAGTTGATACAAGTCTGGATAAGCACAGGCAAACTTCGGAAACTTTTTTKTTCTATCTTTGAAGCATGCGGTTGATGATGTAAGACTGAGCAACTTACTCTGCAGTTGAAGTATCGACTGTTTGCAGGTCAGATATTTCACCAGTGCCTTTTTGGTAAATGTGAAAATTTGATTTGCGTAATTCAATCTTAGATCTGTGATTAAAAGCGCTCCTACCTCATAATAGAAAAATAGACATCCACAGTTATGGCTAAGCTCATTAATGTGACACAGGCATGTTTTGCTTGTTGTGCGGACACACGTGCACTGACAGTATCTGCCTTCCCTTCAGGCGCGACAAGATCCCTTTTGGAGATGATTAGTGGACTTGCTGAAAGTCATCCACCTTTGTTGCTATTCAGAGACTGACAGTGTGTGTGAGTCCTTGTGAACGGGGTGGTCTAGCTGCCGGACAGATTTACAGCTCTTACCAGAGCTCGTCTTCCTTAATGAAATGTTTAGATGGAGCATTTTGCAAAACAGGGTCAGGGGTCTCGAGTCCCATGACAATAATGCAGCATGTAAAAGCCCTTAGGGTGTACACACGTATGTGTCCAGACTTGTTACTGATGAGGAAGTTATCCTTTGGAGCTGGTCYAGAAGCTAATTTGAAAATGTCTGTCTTGTAAACCACAGGAGGCATATATATTTTTTACACCACAATTTCTTCATTTGCCATTTTGTACATGAGATTTCACAATTATTATTTTGCAAGCTCAAAAAAGGGGTAAGAAGCAACCCTAACCCTAACACCATTCAGTCAGGAAATTCTTATTTTTGYTGGAATAACAAGGTGTTATAAATCAAAGGTGAGGTAAAAGTTTATAAAATACCATTTTCATAAAATGGGATGTTAAAACAGCAATCCACTTTGGTTTTAGCTGCATTTAAAGTAGCCACGAGCTTGCCCGTCCAGTCTAAATTAAGCTCTAACTTAGAAACCGAGGCTGTTCATCAAGCTGTCTACAACAGATAAAATAATATATTAATTGTTCAGAGCTTCTCTTAAAAATGGCTGAACAATCTCTTTAAAAACTTTGTGTTGGGTCATTTTTTTCAGCTAGAGGGAATGAGTCATAAAAGGACAAGGATTGCTTTTTGCTGGTATTAATGTGCCTTGGGTGTTTATTTTCCAGCCCTATCATTCCTTTACAGCTTGTGAATTCCAGTTAGTTTTCCTCGCTGAAAAAAAAAACACTCAGAATTTATGTTTTCATTTTGCTTTCCACCTCAAACATGAGAGTTTTGTTCCAATGTTTCCTGATTACTTGAGTTTCTTCCTTCCCTTTTTTTTCCGTCCTGCGTGATTTATTTATTTAACTTTTTTCAGCTCACCTTCTGGAATGGTTCTTTCGATGACAGTGAAGTTTGCAGAAAAGCCTTCCTTGGCGATGGCACTGTCCGTGTTGATTGTCAGTGCCAAAATGCCCGTGTAGGAGATGATCCTGCCTGGCGTGTTCTGACCGCAGTATCTTCCAACGTAAGAACCAACTGGAGAGAGAGAGAGAGAGAGACAAAAGGGAGCAGAGAACAAATATTGTTTCTTAGGTTAGACTCAATATTTGTTTGTTTGCCTCAGCCATGTCACACATTGGTTTTGTACTACCAACTCCCCCTGTGAAAGTGTTAAAACTAGTGTGCCATTGAGGTATGTGACCAACCCCATAAAGCAGCATGAGAAATGCCCCCCGGCATTCCAATCTTGCCCTCCSTTCAGATTAAAACAGCATAGGAAAGCCTGTGGTGTGGGGCAGGTCATGGTCTCTGTCTATTTACTGGCTGTAAATACCTCCAACCCCCTMTACCCAAACTCATTTTCTTAGAGTKCAGGCAGACACTGCCATGGCCCAGCGGGTTTTGYGAAGGATACCAAACAAGTAAAGACTGGACAGGGACAATAAGYGGGGTATTAAAAGACAGAAAGCAATAAAAGCACAAGAGGTGCATGTTCCACTGGGCAGGCTGAGAAGAATAGGGCGAGGCGTGACGGGTGACAAACAGAAAGGGAAAGACAGAAATCTGGCAAACGAGTGACCGTGGCGAGTCAGAGCGAGGCAGCGCAGCGACCTTGCTCCTCGCCTCCGAAGTGGGCTGTGATCCGTGCACATTTATGAGTGTGTGTTCCCGTCAGAGCGTGGGGACCTGCAGCTTATCTGTGATTAGTAATGCTGTGATCAGCGGCGAATGACAGTCCTGCCAGTCCCGTGGCCTCCTGTCATCCAAAACATGCCACTTCCAGCTCCCAGCTCCGACATGAAAGGCAAAGGCCAGCCCGCGGGGACTTATGGGCCAGCGGTGTGACGGCTCAGATTAATCTTCATAAACCAGGTGCCGTGGTGTACGTCTGGGAGACTAAGGTCTGCCTTTAAGCCCTGTAGTCTGAAAGGAAAAAAAAAAAACAAGCTATCTACCGGATTATCTGCATGACTCCACAGCTCTATAAAATTTTAAAGAACCTCACTATGAACTCGATGTCCTGCCTGCTTTCCCTATCTTCAGGGACAGAGGGAGAAGGAAGAAGGGGTTCTTTCTTCTACAGCGCCTCGTCCAGCGAGCTGTACTTTCGAGAGGTGGGGGAACCAGGAGGTGTGAATCCCCCCGGCTGCCTGCCTGGACATCTYCCACCTCAGCACACTCCAGCTGCTAAAGCATGCCTCCTGCGCTAATGCACTATCGATCCAGCAGGCACAACAGGAACTGCCTGGCAAAAAGGCAACATGCTATTTTCCTCCTGTGGCTTATCTTTACACACCACTGTCTGTCACACACAGCAAACTTCAAAAGGTGCAACACCACAAGAAATGCTAGTGTCTAGTTTCTGGCCTGAACAGACACACTGTTGGGAACTCGCATCAATCCAACTGTTTTTGTTCACACTTGAACTGAGAAATTTCTGAATTTTAATAGCTGAGCACAAAAAAAATATTTTTCATAAAATAAGTTGTTTCAAAAGGTGYTGATAATAAAGCATACTCTCTCTTTTTTGTGTCTTTGACAGTGTCCTCAATCAACACATATCTTGGAAATGAAAAATCCCGAACCTCAAGGGGCGATCAAACAAATGAGGCACACTCCGACGAATCAAAGGTCACCTCTGCAAAGTTAACATCTTCTGAGATGTGAACTTTAAATAAACTCGCTTGAAGAGGCGCCGTGATTAACACTTCAACCTTATCACCTGGGAAGCAAAAGCAGAGAGTACCGATGAGAGCGCCGGGGCGAAAGCAGCCAGATCAAATTCTTTCAATTTTCAGCCTCTGATGGGTGAGAAACGCTTTCATCTTTTCTGCGCTGGAATCACCCGCAGAAAAAAAAAAACCCTTCAAGATGTGATTTCACTCGCTGAGTTAAAAGGCTAATCTCAGGCTGTGGAAGCAGGCTTTGAACAATGCTCCCGCTCCCTCACCTTATCCCTCACCTGCTGACTTTTAGGATGAATGGATTCTGAACAGTGTTTTAGGGCAATATGTGATTGTGTGTGAGTCTTATAGGTTTTTGTTCCAAAMCTACAACTAGCAGATGTTGGCCCTTATCAGGTTCAGCCTCTCTGGAATGAGCATCTTTGTTTCCCCTCATTAGTGGGAAACAGAAGGAAACTTGTGAAGGAAATTCCTTTTCGAGTCATTTCCCACAAAATGGGACTGTCAAGCCAAAGCGTCAAACACAACATCTGAGATTAGACACTGAACTCCCAAATGTATTTGACCTCACAAATTGTGGCCCACACAAAGACTGAGCCTCAATAAAAGGACCAGTCCGTGATCAGGAACTGTTTGGCACTGAGCAATAAGGACTGTAAGACCCAGAACTCTACGTTGGGTGTCATTTTATTGTATAAACCTGTTAATGATTTCTCTCTGCCAAAAGAAATATTGGAATAATTGTGCTGTGCCAATAAGTGATGAGATTAAGATCATGTCAAAACTCAGTGAAACAATACATAAATCACACAGTTCCTATGCACATGCCACAAATACAATGAAACAAGGAATTTGACAACGGTTTCTTTTTCCTGTTTTTTTCTAATGAAAAAAAAAAACATACATTGTTCACTTTTTTCTTATTCTTTCATATTTATTTTTGACCACAGCTGGTAATAAAGCTGTAACATGGCTTTGAAG